ATATTTGACCTGATTGTTTATAGTTCATAATGCGTGATCAAAACCGAAAGTTTCTGTGATGACTGCCCTTGTACTGTTCACCATGTAAGAACTTATTCACTATGTAAGAATTTGTTCACCATGTAAGAACTTGTTTGCTATGCTTCAGAAGATTGGAGACTGATGAGAATTAGGCTTGGGGTGGATTAATGATTGTGCATTGAGCACTGAGTCCCCTATACAGAATTTTATTGTTGTTGAGAACCATTTGATCAATAAATATGAGAGATGCCCTCTCAAAAAAAAAAAAAATTAGCAGACATAATGTGTGTGTGTAGGCACGGGGAGGGCTGTACAACACAGAGAAGACAAGTAGTGCTTCTACAGCATCTTACTACGCTGATGGGCAGTGACTGCAATGGGGTATGTAGGGGGGACTTGATGATGTGGGGAGTCTAGGAAACATAATGTTCCTCATTTAATTGTAAATTAATGATACCAAAAAAATTATGTTCAATGTAAATGCGGAGTGACAAAGAAGAGAAGGCTTTCTAAAAATAATGATAAAGAGGACGTAAAACTACTATTGGTATCACTAAACTATCAACTGACAGGAGTAGGAGCAAAGAGATTTAGATGAGTAAAGCAATTTTAGTTTTTGGGTTCTGTCAAGTTTAGAGACTTTTAATCTTGATTATAGCTTAGTTAAATCACTTTCATGAAATATGTAAATATGTAAGTCCAGCCTGGTCCTATCTGTTTCACTACGTTTTTAAAAAATTAGAATTAGTAAAAAATAATATTTGTTTTCAGCACTTTAGTATGTGTCTCTTTAATTTTGGGGTAACAGTTTAGCTCAAGTAGAAAATATTACCTTTCTCAGTTCATTTTCTTGTAAAATATATCTGAAACCATGCAAAATTAGAGACCAATTCTATCTTAAGTGAAAGTCAGACTACAAAGGCCAACTTCAAAAATTTACTTCCCATGCTCTTAAACCCAGAGTGAGGGCTCGTTAATAAGATAAAGTGGCACCAAAGGAAAAATTTCTTCTCTTCCAAACACGAAATTTATGGAAATAACAAAATTGCCCATACCAAAATAACTTGAGAGTTCACTTTGAAAGAGAAATTAAATCAAGTACATAATACATAATATTTAGCCACAAACTATCACAGAGAAATATACCAAATACTAACAGACATTTATGGGTATTGACACACATAGAATTGGAGAGAGGCTTTATGATTCTCCTAACTAGATTCTGAGTTTTTCCCACCTACCCATCCACCTGTCTGTGTACTCAAGATAGCCTTTAAAGAGAAACAAGGGGAGGGAATGAGTTAGCATTATTTAATTTTCATTTCCTAGTAGGTAGGGAACATGAAAGCTCCTTGACACATGACCCTGCTGTGGTGTCAGAAAAATCAGTAGAATACAGAGATTCACTCTGTAAGGGGTAAGATGAGTGACGTGCTAGAAAAATGACCATTTGGTTAATTTTTAAAGGATAAGATCCCAAGAAAGGTGAGGAAATGAGAAGGAATTAAGTCAAGCCCTGACCACAGACATCCACTGAGAAAGGAAAATTCCAAATGTGGAGAAGAAGAAGACATGCTTACCTGTCTGATTCTGGCAATGGACAGGAGAGAAAGAAATATCATCCAGGGCAACATGCCCTCCTTTGGGGCCATTGAAAGCAACTTCAAAAATAACCTGCAGAGGAATATGACACATCGTTAACATGTTTATATATTTTCTGTCAGGCTTCAGTGCTCTTCACTATGATTGAAAATGATGTGTCACGGGGAAAACAGTGTAGCACAGAGAAGGCAAATAGTGGATCTGTGGCATTTTACTACACTGATGGACAGTGACTGCAATGGGGTATGGGTGGGGACTTGATAATATGGGTAAATGTAGTAATCACATTGGTTATTCATGTGAAACCTTCATAAGAGTGTATATTAATAATATCTTTATAAAAAATTAAATGAAAAAAAAGAAAAGAAAATGATGTGTCAATCAAGCCAGGAGATGCCAAGTTTTATGTACGTGAGAAATAAATAAATAAAAGCATTTGGGTAGCTGCCTCTGTGACCTACCGCCTTTTTTAGGGAGAGTGAATACTAAGACTTATGTCATATTTTATTGGAGTATTTATTGGTGATGCTCCCTTGAGTACCGTGAATACCTCCAGTAATGAGAGTACCTATATTACTTCTGATAGAACTACAGAGTTAACAATTTGCACTGTGAAATTCAATTAAAGAAACAACACGCTCCTTGCAGAAAGCAACCTGGGTCCTCCCCCTGCCTGTCACAGAGAGCTAAGCCCCAAGGCCCTTTTCCTTTTCCTTACGTGGAATTCTGTGGGGAGGTTCTGGACAAAGATTCAGCAATCAGAGATGATTCTCTGGTGGCAAAATCAGGCCCAGCAATTCTGTGCACAGAGGTTAGAATTTTAGTGTGTCCAGGAGGGTCTGAATGGCTAGAAAGCACACTGAGGGTTAATGAGTTCAACCCCCTTAGATTTTCTCTCTTCTCTGCCACCAGAGTGCAATGGGCTACCTTCTGCTTGTGACCATGGGGATCAGGGGTCAGCAGAGCATCCCCTGCACTGGGAACATCACCCAGGTGAGCAGTCCACTCCTGGGACTTGATAACATGAGAAAACACAGTGTTGAGCAGGGGTTGAAACTCAAAGGCCTATGAGGGCCAGGCAGGTCATGTAAATGAGTGACATGGTTTTGACAGAATGCAGCAGCAAAGGGTGCAGACTGTCCCGAAATGGAGAATACAGGACTATTTAACAAGGGCAGCTGCTCCTCAGCTTTGCTGATGGGTAGGAATTCAGGCCTCACATGTCTGGATCTACCAAACTGTCAGGAGGACCTGGATCTCTAGATTTTTATTTGAAATCTTTGAATTTTTTTAATGTTGGCAATTAATTTGAAACCTGAAACAAGCAAAGAAACCAAAATGAAACAAAACAAAAACAAACAAAAACCACTCTAGCAGGCAGGCAAGTCGTTGTGAGCTAGATTTGACCCATAAGCTTCTAAGTTTTCAGCCTCTTCTAAAGAGAATGGTGTCTTGGAGGCAGACAGACCAGAGTCCAAATCCCATTTCTATTTCTATCACTTTCTAGCGACATGACTTTGGGTACATTGCTAACCCTCTCAGGGCCTCATGTTCTCATGTATAAAATAGGCATAACACCACCTACCTTGTAGGACTGGTGAAGAGATTAAATGAGATAATGCATATAAGGTGCTAGCCTGGAGTCAGGTATGTAATGAACTCTGGACTAAATTCACGCCTTTTACTCCAGATGACCTCTCTTGAACTCATATCCAGGTTTGAGCCTTGTTAGCCACTAATTAGCTCACATAGGTCCCTTCTTTCCTCCAGGCCTCAGTCTCTTCATTTTTGAAAAAATGGGTTGGGACAAGATGGTCCCCTTCTGCTTCGCAACAATGATCCTACTGATGCCTGGACTCGGCAAGACCTAAAAGGGCTCTGGAGGTTTGTCTCTGGCAAGGGGAGAAGGGCTGAGCACAAAGGGAACAGATGTGGACAAATGATAAGGGGCAGATTAAGTTTACAGACTCATCACAGGTCCGTGACATTTAGTTTTCAAGGTACCAGCTGTTAAAATCAATGACTAAACTTGATCTTACTGACCAGGAGGAGTAAGAATTTCTGATCAGAATGCGCAAATCAGAGCCCATGTGACAATGTGTTCTCTCTTATTCAGAAAGTGGTTCTCAAATGTTTTTCCTTTTTAAAATTTATTTGAGAATATATGATGACAAATTCACTGATTCCTGCAGGATAGATCTCTTGTCCTGGCAATTCCCAAGAGCAAATAGTACTAGCATAATGAGTTCAGACTGCTAGAGCAAAATCACACATGTGTGAATCAAAAAGATATATATCGAAGTTTTGAAGTTTCCAGAGTTGTAACTTTCCAAACATTGACTTAAAAGAAAATTCAGCAAAGTCTCACTTACACTACATTGGAATTTATGGTTGGATAGAAGGAATTTGTGAAGAAAATGCCCTCACTGTGTATGTGACTCATTTGACTTTCATAGAAGGAAAACTTTCTGAAGCAGTAGGTATGTTTATTTTCCTCCTTATAACCCAAACTCACAGAAACCTTCCCACTGGGCTGCAAGAGCAAGTCCTGGTCTGGGCAGACTTCAAGACGGGAAATAGCACATGAGCTGCAAAAGGCATTGTGCTCTCCTTGGGGCTACATGGAGGGGACAGTGCGGGACTGCAGAGGGCAAGGGGAGTGGCAGGCATTCCATCAGGAGATGACCAGTTCACTTCAGAAAACGAGACCCATCCCGACGCTCCCTGAAGCTCCAGGTCAGGTGAGCAGATGGCACCATGCGGAAAGCGTCCAGAGGATAATCAGCTTCCTTTGCAATATAAAGGGAATTAGGGAGATATTGCAAAAAGCACAAAGTGAAAAGTAGGGGACACTGATATCCTGGGTTAATGAAGACTACTTAGAGCTCTAAATCTGTACCCACAGTCTGCACCCACTGATTGTAGAGGTCCTGGGGACCCTCAGACAGAGCTGGGTCTCTCTTAGCTGTCGGTCAGATTTTAGTCCAGGAACTTTCCTAAGGGCCCTGGCACTCACCAGCTGTGTGACCTAGATAGAAACTCTCTGGCTTCTGGGACTCTGTTTTCCCCCGTCTCTGTAACATGAGGATAGATTGTTTGACTTTGTTGGATTGTTTGATTATTTACTGGATACACACATAGATACAGATACGTACTAATACACATGCTTAGGAAAAATGTCTGTGGGGATAAACATCAAAATGTTAGTCCTTCTCATCTTTGCAGGGTTGGCCTAGGCTGTTTTTGTTTGTTTTGCTTTCTTGAATTTTCTAATTCATTGGCACTGGCATTTATCACTTATGTAACTATAAAAGCTTTAAAACTAAGTACAAAGGTTTGTTTCAAACAGGAGCCACAGTCATAAATTTCTGATTCTTATGATAGTATTTATACTGCAAAGGAGAAGCTAAGAAAATAAGGTTTTTGTTTATTTGTTTGTTTGTTTGTTTTTCACTCTAGAAAGACTATTCCCTCAAGTAAGGGAAACCTTCATAACTGCTCTCAGGAATGGAAGCTCAGGAGTGAGTTTCACTTAGAGGGCATTGATCTCTTTGACCTCACCAGGGCTATAGCGCAGGGCTCACAGGGAGGAAGTTTCCAGGAAATCTAGATGGTTGACTGGCTTTTCCACATTTGTCCTTAGAAAAAATACCCTTGCAAGAAAATGCAAGTGATAAAAGAAGGAAGAAGGGAATACAGAGGAAGAAAAGAGGGAGAAGTGGCGAGGACTGATCAAGGGGAAAGAAAGCTAAAGACTGAGATAAAGCAGAAAAGAAAGAGTGAGGGCGCGGCTGGCATCTCCTGATCTCTGTGCCTGTGTGCGGGAGCCATCCCTGCTGGGCGGCTACCTACCTCCATGGGGTACGGAGCACTGAACTCCACCTCAGCCAGGTTCCAGGCAGCATTCCCTGGGCTGCTCATTTTCCAGATCTCCTCATAGACGCCGGCTGCATCCCGAGTATAGAGGGAGAAGACATTGTCATTCTCCTGCTGGACTTGGTAATAAAATGACAGGCAGCCGGACATGGGGGCCGTGGTCATTGGGGAGATGAGCTGGGCCACCTCCTGGAAGTGCTTGATGTAAACTGAGTCCACATACATGTAATGGCCTGAAAATCACACAGACAAAACACAGCATAAGATAGGCTGGGGGGGCTTCAGATGAAACGATGTGATTCTGGGATTTAAATAACCCAGTGGGAGTGGTGGAGAGACTTGGATGAACTATGGATGGAAGTTCGGCTGTGGGTTGATGAATATTGCAGCTGGGAGATGAGTATATGGAGTTTATCGTGCTCTGCTAAGCACAAGGTAAGAACCATTCTTTTTCCTTGCCTTACTTTGGAATGAAGTGAAAAATATACATAGAAAGGTAGATGTATAATACATAAACTACTTGACTTTTTGCAAGCTGAACACAGCTGCCGGAAGAAACAGACCCTTCCCCAAGCCTTCTCTGAGTTATAAAGTTTCTAAGAACATACCAAGCATACCATCTGTTTTTAAAAGTGCACAGAGGGACCCTCCCTTACATCTTACAATATATACAAAACAGCGCTGGGTATTTTTTTTAATGAAACTAAGATTGTGACTTCAAACTAAATGACAAGTTGTGCCTCTTTAATAAAACATCTTGGTCAGTCAACACAGCAGACAGGGATTGGGGATATAGAACTTGTGACACCACTCTCGGCAAGGCCTGGTGCACTGTGGACCCAGAGGCTGACCTCCGTCAGAGGCGTCTTGGTGAACAAAAGCATAAGGCAGCAAGGGGAGAGACTGAGTTTACCATGGAAGAGAGCTGCGATTGAATCCTGCTTCACCTCTTACCAGCCCCGTGACCTTGAGCAAGTTATTGAATATCTCTGGGCTTCAATTTCCATATCTCTAAAAAGAGAATCAAACACTTCTCTCATAGGGTTGATATGAGTATAAAATGCGATTATGCATGTGGAGAGCTTAGCGTGCACCTGGTACACTATAATTGCCTAACATAGTTAAATACTGAAATAAAATAATGCCATTAACGATCTAGGATCATGCTTTCCCCATTGGCTGTTCTGGATAAAGGGTAGTTATTATTATTAGCAATTTCATAGGAATTTATTTAAGCTACAATGACAGAGGAGTGCTATACAATGTAGCTTTGATAGAATGCCCTATTTGTAAACTCAGAAGATTTATAGCTTAATACCTTGTTTTTATTAGATGGTACCTGATTAATTATTCCTTTTATCCTCAGCAAAATAGCAGTAAGGATATTAGGAAGAAAATACACATTCATACACTAGATACTGACTGCATCTAGCACACCACCCAGTAGATGGCAGACCCTCAACAAATGGTTATTCAAAGCACAAATAAAGTCTCCATAAGACCTTCACCTCATCACGGCAGAAGGGAAAGATGGACAAATCCAAGTCCACTTTCTTCTAGTAGCAAATGCTCAGCCCCCTGAATAATCTCTTATTTAAACATAATATCCCTTATCATCTCACCAAGCCATGCAACTGTGACTAAACAGAGATGACAAACGCAGATGATTAGAAGAGCCAGCCAGACCAAGTGTGTGACTGAAGTGGGCGGGTCAGGGAAGAAAAGAGAGTGATGAATTCGTTTGAAACTAACATTTGAATCATATTTCACCAGCAACAAGAAACAGAAATCAAGCTTCTCTGGAAATATCAGAAAACCTGACAGTACTGGGCCCATATTCTCATGCTGCAACCACCACCTGGTGGTGACAAATGGTGGCCCCTAGCATGGCCTGTGTTCTCTGGTCCGTCCCTGAGGGTCCCTCCCTCTCCTCCCAGTTAACACCCTGATGTCCAGCCCACTGAAGCTCAAAATCCAGATTTTTATAGCATATCTATCCATTTAAAAATGATACCCCCTCTATTAGTCTGCTAGGGTTGCCGTGACAAAGCGCCACAAACTAGGTGGCTTAAACCTTAGAACCTTACTGCTGACAGTTCAAGAAACCAGAAGTCTGAGATTGGGGTGTTGGCAGGAGTGGTTCCTGAGGAGGGCTGCAAGGAGGCATCTGCTCTACGCCTCTGTCTCAGCTTCTGGCAGCTGGCTGGCGATCATTGGCCCTCCTTTGCTAGTCGGTCTCTGCCTTCATGTTCACGTGGTATTCGCCCTTTGTGCATGTTTCTCTCTATCCAAATTTCCCCTTTTATAAAGACACCAGTCACACTGGACTGGGGACACACTCTGCTTCAGTCTGATCTCATCGTAGCTAATTCCATCTGGAACAAGGTTATTTCCAAGTAAGGTCACATCCTGAACAGCTGTGGCATAGGAAGTCAGCACACAGATTTTGAGGAAATACAGTTTGACCCATAACACCCACCACCAATTTTTTAAACATTGGATGTGCCAAATAAACGTATCTGCAGGCTGGAAATAGCTGATAAGCTCCCACTTTGCTGCCCCTGGGGAGGGGTTTTAAAGGATCAGAATGCCAGAATGAATAGAAACAGAGACCACCTGCCGAGGAAGGCAGGCCCATGACTCCCCACCCAGAGGGCCAGTCTCTCTGAAGTATGGCTGGCGGCTGGCCTGCCTCAGTGTGAACACTCTACCAATGGGGAACACATGTGACAAGTTCACCTTCATAACACGAGTGTCAATGGCAGAGGAGAATTGTTTAATGCCCTCTGTAATATGTCTTGACTTATGAAACTGAATCCCTCTCCATGCCCTTGGGGGAGCCTGCTGGAGGAGGCCATGCAGGGGCTGCTGCCATCTCCAGGAAAACTTGATGCAGGGACCGTAGCTGGCTGGTGGCCTCAGCTGCCAGCCCCCTGGATCCACAGCAGTGCTTGTACCCAGGCTGCACACACCGGGCTGTCTACATCCAGTGAGCATGCATGGCCGGAGAGCTGGAGCTGGTCCATTTGGGCCTGTCTCTCTGCCAGCGGTCAGCCTTCCCTCCTGGGCTGAAGGCGCTCCCCGCCAGGGCTGCATCATGACTTCTCCCTGGCACTTTGGCGGCTGTGGGTCCCTCTCCCATAAAAAATATTAAAGACTATATTTTACAACTGCATTGGAATACAGATGATTACAATATAGGCTGGACTCACTATTATACTTGTTATTATTACATTCATTTTTTTTCTTTTGTTTTTAAAATAAGTTAGACCATTTTTGTGGATCCCTAAGAATGGCACATGGGCACTGTGATGTCTGCTACCAGTGGACGTGGGAACGTGTCCGAGCCCCACTACTCCAGCTCTCTCCCTTTTTATCCCCCACAGGCAGTTCCCCCAATGAATCTCTTTCCCACCTCATCCCAGCTCAGGGCCTGCTTTTGGAGGACCCAGCCATAAAGAGAGAGGTCACCTCCAAAGACTCTGCAAGACTCTCAGTGAATCTAGAAGACCTCACAAATCCACTTGAAAAAAATTTTATGGATATTAAGTTAAATTTTTTAATGATGAGGGAAAGGAAGGTATCAGTTCATGCCCCTCCAGTTGCACCCAGTGTGGCCAGGCACAGGCCCTGCCAGTGGCTAACCTGTGACTAAAGCAGGTGTCCAGGGAGGGGGAGGCACATCAGCGCCTCTGGGCCCCTCTCCTTCCCCAGAAATGAGCAAGTGGTCACGTATTCTTCCAGAAATTCCCCTGCCCACCTGACAGAACAATTTAAATCCTGAATATTCAATTCAGTTTTAGAAAGTACCTAACATTTTCTTTAAAGGCTTGTTACTCCCCTGCTGTACAGACCATACTTTAATCCCTGAATTTGCAGTTGAAGTGCCTCATTAACAACTCATTACATGACACTAGGCCCAGTGAGCCACAGTCAATTTCTGATCCAAAAAAAACATCCCGCAAACATAATGTGACCTGCCCAGTGTGAGTCAGACGGGCTGCTGGGAATAACCAGGGCTGCTGACACCGAGTCTCATAGGAAACCACTAGACTAGAGCGCATTCTGGCGCTCTGCTTTTCCTTTCCATCGTTCATTTGTTGCCAAAGTTGGGTACTATTCACAGACAACCTGAGGAAGACGGCTTCCCACTGGGAAACAAAAGGGAGCTCATCATAGTTTATCAATGCAGAGGGAGGAGTGGCCTGCTTCAGAAATCATGAGGTGTCTGTGCCAGGAGGCTGGCCCGGAGGGATGACAACCAGCCCAGGCTGAGCGTGTGTCCACAGGTACAATCTGCTCTGCACAAGGGGAGCAAACAGTTGGGTGGGTGCAGCCACCACTGTGCACCTTTCCAAGGGGAATGAAGAAGGTAACCTGGAGTTCTTGGGCAATCATGTCTAGTGTCTGGTATTATGGGACATCTCCTGCCCAGGTCGGTGAGGCCAACCCTCCTGTCTGGGCCAGGGCTCTAGAGCACCCAGCATCTCTAGAAGAGGCAATTTTTATAAGATCATTTGAGTTCAAATAGGATCCAATTAGATATTATATAGATGGACCTTAGGTGGACAGGATCCTATAATCAACCAAATCACTGGGGATCCTGCAGGCCAATTTTAAGCATTAAAACTTACTTGGAAATTACCTATGAAGGGGACGATGGGTTTCCCACAAGATTAAAAACTGAGAATTTTAGTTCCACTCTGCTAACCAGTCTATTTTTCCCTAATTCTGGATTATACACAAAGAGCCTACAGTTCCCAGGGAAAAAAAACAATTCCACTTCCACTGAAAGATCAAAATCTCAGTGACACCAGCTCAAGCTCAGGTCCCTTCTGGAAAATGCCAGCAGTCACAGTGCAGGTACGCTGACCTGCCCTTCTTGCAGCAGCCCTCTGCATTAGCTCAATTTTTCACAGGGAACCAGTGGCCTCTGGGAGTGAGCTATTTTCCCCTGAATTAGGAAAAACACTCTGAGGGCAGTTCCTGAACTCTTACTTTCAAACAGTCTGGCTAACCAGCATTCCATAAAGATTGCCCCTGGTCTGTCTGGGATGCCACAGGTGTCCTCTGACTCAGCTGTGATTCAGTCCCATTGGCCACATTTGTGCTCCAGTTGCGATGTCTGAATCCATGTCATGATTGTTTGAACAAGCTTGTCTCCTGGGTAAGGGGAAAACTTGGTCTGAAGAAATCTATGACAGCTGGAAACATTCACCGGTCAGCTGCCACT